CTCGGTTCTCTGACTATTGAGAGGACAAAAAAGAGAGTAAATACGGTTCTCTCTCTGTCAGAAGTTACCAGTTTTAGTCCGAGAATTTTTTGCTGGTAAATTCTGGTAAATGTGTCAAACGATCAGCTGTAGTGTGTTTGGCAACCAAATTGTAAACAAAAGAAAAGTGCACTCTGCTAATTCATGTTGAAAAGTATTTAATTACTTGTTTAAGTGGATTCTAATAAATTTGAAAGTATTTTTGGTTATTTACATGTGTGAGCTGAGTGTGTTTACATACAAAATAAGCAAAAATTTACAACCAAAATTTGGAGGTTATGTTGAAGTTGACAGAAGTTACCATTTTTTACTAGAAAGCGATCCCGTAGTTTTCAATGTTACTCTCTCGCTCTGAGCGAGTTTTTATTTTTTTACAGTTTTACTAGTCCGAGTCCGAGGAATACGGGATTGCACCTATACTTAAACAAAGTTTGAAATTATTAAAATGTAAACAAAACTTACAATATAAAGACGGAATTCTCGGCAAAAGTAAAATCAGCTGCTCTACTGTTGCTACCTGCCTCAATTCGCTTCGCTCTATACAGAATATTCAACGTAAAATGCGTTGTAAAAAAAAACTTTGAAAAGCTACATAAATACTAGGAAAATTTCTTTTAGGGCGAACCAGATGTTTAGAAGCGTCACTTTACCCCATTGCACAAGCTCGGCTTCTTTGCGCCGCCTACTTAATTTATTCGAACCAACTTCGTATCTCTAATATATATATGTATGTACATATTTATCCTTTCCGGCATGGATTTACACTTTCTCATAGCGAAGATAAATTTTTTTTCATACATGGACAGTTAGTTATTACATCACAAAAGCAAATTGTTGCTTTTCAGAAGTTGTTTACAGAGACAAGCGATCCCATCCATTCAGGCGGCTGGCAAGTGCGTCTCTTTCGCAGCGTGAAGTGCTCGTCCGACGTCCGTCATTCTGGCAGTCGTAGTCGAGCCAAAACAGCAAATATTTTAGCAAATGCTAAACACAATTATTAACATCATTTTATTTATATATAAATCGCAGATACATATAATTTTCTTTTTGTATATTTGGCTTTGGCCGCTCGATGTCGCTGAACGGATCAGCAAAATAACTTACAATATGCTGCTCTTTTGGCTAAATTTAAATATGAAGACAATTACGGGCTTTCGGGTGACAAAGACATAGCTAGCCGTGTCGTCGGCAAGTGTTCGTCTCTTTGTCCATTCGCTTGCATGTTCGGCGAAAGCATGAAAAGCTCTCAGTCCTGGCTGAAATTCGCAACGATGCAGACATTCGGTTGGCTTTGGACGCGCGAATAGCGTCGTCAGTTGCGGCTGTGACAAAAAATAGATCTATTTTAAAATTCCTTAAAATACTAGCATATATACGATGTGCCAGCAAATACGAACAAGCAAATTGTTGGCTGCAAGTGTCTAATACTTTATAGTGCTAGTTCGTGCAGCCTTATGAAAGTTTTCTAACTAATTGTGTATTGTGTATAGGCCGTAATACGTAACTGTTTCCTACTTAACTCTTGTAGTAACGGTAATAATCGGTAATCGCTGGTGTTTTGAAAAACGTCGTTATACCGTATGGCAAAGTCTCACAGTCACTCCACGAAGATATAAGAAGCAAACCACCCCGAACGAGAATAAACTTCCTTCTTTTCATCTTTTAATATAATATAATATAAAGCAATTTCACGACACATTCGAAACAAAAATAAGAAAAAATATTTGCTATGCTTAGCTGCGCGCACTACCTTTGTTTGTGTGTTTAAAAATAGCGGTAGCCAAAAAAGAAACGTAAACGTAAACATACACACGAACCAGCATCAACATATATACAGCGATCCTTGAGCGCGATTGTCGCTTATGAAAGTGGCCATCATTTACAAAGTAAATTGGTCTGCACCTGCCGCCTTACTTCGACCTGCTGCTGACTAGCTGACTGTATTGCCCCGTTTCAGCTGTTTACAACAAAGATTTTGTGAGTATGAACCCCCGACGATCGGCCTCAGTCGGCGCATTGCCGCGCGAGAAGAAGCATTTCGTGTCGCGCACCGAAAGCAGTAGTGGGGCTTCGCTCGACGTTCGCTGCGCTTGCCAATACTTCCAATGCGACTCGCTGCTCCCCGAACGCATAAACCCCGCTGGTGATTCACGTCCGACCTCGGCTATGGGATTCCACAGCGACTTGGGCAGTGATCATCATGAGCATCTGCATTCTCCAAACCACTTTCAGGGCATCCATCTGGACTCCATGGCGCAGATGGACCAGCTCTCAACTCGCAGCTACCAGATTGGCGGACACCCGCCACACATGGACATTGACCGGTTCTCGATGGGCAGCATAGGCGGTCAGCGTACCCTTGACGATAGTACACCGCAAGTAGATGTGTCCTTTGTTGAAAAATATCCCGAATTGGAAGAGGTAGCGCGTTCTCGTGGATTGGTGGTGCGTAGTATCTCTGATGCAAAAGAAAATGAAATGGGCCCGCCAGCGTCATTTATGGCAGGTCAACGTAGACGGCAGATGTCGCTGAGCCGCATGTCTAGCGGAGGTATGCGCGACCCGGACGCTTGGTCAACGCGCAGTGTCACCTCTTTGCGACGCATCTCTCGCTCGCCATCCAAGTCCGACCTTTTTGTGGCTGATATTAATATACCGACCAAGCGTCCTGAGAGATACGAAATGCGCTCAGCTAGTACCAGTCGTCGCACTTCCAACGTTGACTTATCACATTTTGCCTCACATCGGGGACCGCCTGCCTTAGCGCTGTCCATGGCTGATAGTTCACCAGTGATTCCGCTCGGTTCTCCACCACCGCTTCGGGATCAAGGTCAACAGTTGGCGGCTCCCAAAGTGAATCTCATCGCACCCACGCCAGCCACTGATGCAGCGGATATGCGTCCCGACTTTGAGCGCGCAACAGCGTCTAGACAAAGGTCGCCCTCACCAGTCGCTACGGATTACCGTGTTGCTAAACCACCTGTATCCACAGACTATATGCGTCCAGAGGAAAATAAGGAAAACGTACGTTACGTAGATTTTGGACAGCTGATGCCTCAGAACCGGCCGATCGATGTGTCGCAGTTTTCTTCCTATTCGGATGAGAAGATACAAGAGGTGTCGCCGCAGTTGACAACTAAGACTGCAGGTGGGTGGAGACCTTTTGCGCGGGCTACTTCACCTAAACCCACTATAGCCGCCCCATCCACTATAACCAAAAAAGATCCTCTACTACAGGAAGTTGCTGAGTTAGAGAACATAGCAGCCAACAGAAATATTGAAGATGTGAATGACAATATTCGGTTGCAAACAACTCCACCTCCTTTACCTTCCGGCGATATAACACATCCTTCCACATTGCACCCCGTAGAAGCGACAAACATTCAAATAATCAGTAAAGTACCGGCCGTGGATGTCGATCAGCTGGTGCAGAGTGAGACGCGAAAGGCAATCGAGGCAAGGTTGCGTTCCAAATCGCCTTCTCCAATTCGTCCACAATCGCCTCATGCAATGGACACGTTGCAATTGCCCGGGACAGTTGTTACCGGCAGCTTGTCCCTTGGTGTGTTGGGAAAACAGCAGGCGCTTAAGCGACAACGCTCGCCAGAACGAAATATGTCGCCGGATCGTAGCAAAAAGGCAGTACCTAGTGTGCAGAAAATGGACGCGCAGACCATTGAAATGCACTTTAGCGATATGAGTAACGAAATACCGTTGCAAGACGTCCCACCGGAAGTGAAGTCCTCGTATACGTCACGCTTTAAATCAATGTTCACATCCAATAAAAGTGCAACGCCACCAGGTGAGCCCCCTTCAACACCCGATCGTCGACGGTCCCCATCGCCGGCGCGTGGAAGATCGCCTACACCCCAGCGTGAGAAATCTCCTTCGCCAATACCAACTAAGCTGATGGGAATGTTTTCTAAGTCCAAGCCCACACCAATGTCGATAAGCACTGGCACCTCGGCCGTCGTAACGAAAGCATCGGAAAAGGAGCCAATGTCGGTGAAGGTGAGGGAGACGTTTTCTCTAAAAGTCGATGAAATGGATCAATACAACGCGCGTCCATCCAAACCGCCACCGAGCTCCGTTCAGCCAACCCCACCCATCACAGCATACAGCAGTCGCGAAGACTTTTCCACGATAGAGCAATCCTCCATAAGCATAGCCGATGCATTTGCCCCCGTTGTAGTACCTGCACTAAGCAGAGAGCAGTTTATGGCCGGAAATAGAAGATTTTATTCAAGCGAAATGGATTCACAATCACGTCGCAGTGAATCCGAGTTTAATAGAGCCAGTAAGGAACCATCAGTTGGGAGCGGAAGTGTTAGCCATTTCCATATTCCAAAAGGCACTCTGATTTCAGTGCCGATACATATTGGTTCTAGTAGTGTTAGTGGAGATTTAAGCCAACGAACGTCATCTGTTGGAGCTTCACAATACACTGTGTCACGTCCTCCGTCTGCGGATGGTCGGATTGGGATGTCGAAATTGGTACGTAAACCTTCCTTCAACGATGGTCGAACACAGTCGCAAGACCGCGCTCGAAAATTGCACGGCTCACATGAAGATTTGTACAGTGGCCGAATGACTAAGACGGTTAGTTTCAATTTCGACGAACGCAAATCGCGTTTGTCAGACTTCGAAAGTTCCAATCTGTCGAATCAGCATAAAGAAAACAGAGAATTTCTCGAACGGACGTACTTTGCTCGGTAAGAATGAAACCCAATGTCGTCTGGGAACTTTTTTACCGACAGTTTTGTAATCCTGCTTGTCTCTCCAGATGCACTATCATATAAACTGAGAAATGACTCACAATTCACGACAGCACAACAAGTTATCTATTTTATTAAACACATCTCATTTTAACGCTAGCTTCCCACCAAACTCATTTGTACTAGCTTTACCAACTTATTTAGGTTTATTCTTCTTTTTTTTTTTTGTTTAACAATCGTAGTATTTACTTTAACTTGTTTTATATTTTAGTGATCATGAGTACGAACCGATCGCATCGCCGTCAGATAGTGGGAATGCCTCTGCGCCGTCGGAGCAATTAAATTTGTCACGGAATATTGCAATGCTGCACGAGGAAATCAGAGACGCAGAAGATCTTCAACAAGATTTGGAGGAACGTTATTTGAGCTCCGAAGCAACAACACCTCGTACCGAGTCGCGTACGGATTATGAAATACACACTAGTCAAGTGGATTCAAGTGCCTTGGAAGAGCTGCCGCTGAAGCCAGAAAACCGTAAAAAGGGATTCATGGCCAGCGCGCAGGATCGTACTCGCAAAATGCAGGCCGGCATAAAGACCCAGGCTGGAAGAATTAAAACAAAGTTGCGCACGCCTGCAAAGAAACCAGCCTCGTCAAGTCCCAAAGCTAAGGAGCGCAAGCGTTTCAAAGCACCCGAGTTCTCGAAAATTAAAATGCCGGAAATCAAACGTCCCGATATGTCGAAACTTAAAGACTTCAAACGTCCCGAATTCACGAAGTTCAACAAACCAGACATGTCGAAATTTAAACTACCCGACAAATTTTCGACCCTTAAGCTTAGAAGAAGTAAGTCTTTTAAGGAAAACGAAGGCCAAGATGAAGAGATGGAGGCAGACACCGGGAATGCTGCGCAGCCGCAGCAGCAGAAAAGAATGTTCGATTTCAATTTCGGCACATATCCAAGAGCGTTCCGCAAGAAGAAGCCTGTAGAGTCGCAAGCATCACTGGGAACTGAAACTGCCACCGAAGGGGTCAGCGTCATTCCGAGCACTGAAACACAGCCATCGCTGGAATCTTCCAGCTCGCCGCAAGGTGATCGAGGTCCGGGGCCTGTGCGCTCGCGTTGGGCAGACAAATTTTCAGATGTTAGCTATAATGACAGCGAGGGCTCCCGCTACCGTCGGTATGGTAGTGAGCAAGAAAGCTTCGACCGAGAATCATCACTGGAACGGCGAATGAAGGACGATTTGGAGGAAACTGGGAGCGAACAGCAGGAGTTGGGAATAATGGGCGGAGTTGCTGATACAAAGCAGTTCGCTGAATTTGATGAGGAAAATCGCGCAATTCATGAAATATCCAAGATGCGTGCCGGCGAATTCAGAAGGCGCCCCATAGTCCATCAAGATTCCGATTTGCGATCTGAAGACAGTAAAGAAGTAGAGGGGTGGACAGAGAAGGAAATTGAAAAAAATAAACTGCTTCGCAAAGCTGAGTTGGAGGCAGAAGCGAGCTATCTGAAATATCCGCTTGAAGACGGATTGCCACAGGAAACCCAGTCAACTTCTAGCTCGGGCAAAAAGGTCGTAATGGAGGAAATCGACGACGATGAATTTTTCCTACGCAAGCGAGGCGTCTCCGAAGATAACATCGAACTGCGGCAGTACATAAGTAATGCGATACGTGAGGGCTACGACAGACCAATAAACACCTTAGATCATGTAGGACAACACAGTGAGCGAATGGAGTATAGGGATTACGATATTCCACCACCGAAACCGAAGCGCCTGCACAAAAGTTACGGACCACAGGACATATCTCAAGATCTCGAGTCCCAACGCAGCGAATACGGCGACGAATTGTCACTGTCTCAAAACGGCAGTGATTTCTATAGTGCACCCAAGCGACCATTGCGAAAGGGACGCAGTCGCAGCAAATACTCAATGGACAGCCAAGACTTTCCCGTTGCCGAGAACTTACGTCATGAACCTTATTTCGATGATGACGAGGAGTATCTGCGTCCTCCACGCAACAGCTACAAAGACAATGAGGAGGCAGAAATGAACGACTTGAACATAGTCGGCAAACAAGTCTTCCCAGGGGAACCGAAGGGTGTCAACGAAGGAGCGCCGGCACCACAAGCTCCACGGCGCCGAAAGCGTGATACACGTGACAACTCGATGGACAAGGATTCGTATATAAATGGTTTCGGTGGTCGATCGGTTTCTAATAGCCGTTTACAGCCAACCGAAGATGTAAGTACACCCCATATCGACAAAGTATTTTAACAGTTCCTATGGTATCTCATTTGTTTGTTCAACCAATTTATGTACATAGGTAATAGTTTATCGCACTGAGCACGAATATCCTATTTCCCTTGCTTCGCCTGAAAAACTCGCATCAACGTTGGAGGATCGAAAATCCAGACCAATTTCTAGATATGACGAAGACGATCGGACTTCCCGGGGAGCCGAGTCATTGGGATTTGATGAACAAGGCGAATCCCAAGCAGACCAACGGTCGAGCGATGGAAAGGACAAGTACATTATCGATATGATGGAGAATGATGGGTGAGTAGCATAGAGGGACGTAGCGGCTGCCATGATTTTTAAGTTTACCATTGCTTTCGTGAATATTTTCGATAGCTACGCAATCGTACGGAAGGAACACTTGCCAAAGCCAACGCCACCAGCTCGCAGGAAAAAGTTCTCAAGGTCACCGGGCGAGCGCTTCACCACCATAGCCAGTGCTGGAGCTGGCAAGAGCGGCACACCGCCGCCACCCGAGCGGCCGCCCCCACCACGCGCATACACGCCGTCCACAATGGAGGAGGAACCAGTGCCGCCACGCCGAAGATCAACTGCTAGTGTAGATATAGCGGCAGCATCCCAAATGTAAGAACGAAAAACCAAAACAAACCGCTGCAGCTTTTATTTACTTAGTTGTGGCGCACATTTGAATGCATTTTTTTTTTGCTATTTTTTGTTTTGTTTTAGTTTTCTAACTTAAAGTTGAGTTTTATAAAATGTTTCATCTGCTGTAGTGGCTAATTTTAGATCACTGAGTGCACCTCATTCTTCTTTTGTGCTTAATTAACTAAATATCCACTTGTTTTGTTTTGTTGTTTTGTTATTGTTGACACAAATTTATTTTTATTTATTTAAGCCATTTATTATGTAAAATATGTATGTATGGATATGTATACATACGAGTATATACAGCATGTACGAACATGTATGTACCTATTCGCATGCATGCGTCGGAAGTTGAAGAGCGCCACGGGACAAAACCCAGTAGATAATTTCAGGAGTTAAAAGCAACTTAAAGTTCATTTGTAATGCTAAATAATACAAATTTATGAATTCGCAGAAGAGCACCCTTTGCAGCCCTTCTTGGGTATGGATTTTAGAATGGCTTCACTTAAGAAGGCCTACGTAAATTATCTTCTGGCAATTTATTAATCGTATATGTATGTATCCATGCTTGTTTGTTTCTATGTATGTAATTATGTACTAACTGCTACATCGTAGCACAAATAATTTACATTATAGAGGAAGATAACAACTGCTAGTAAAAATTAGATCTCCATTGAATTGCTTAGATCAGTCAAAACTCTAAACTTTTTCTCCCATTTGAGCCGAGAACCATTTGTTAATTTCTGAGTACATTTACTACAAGCAGTTTTTTATTATACNTGATTTGTATGGATGAAAAAAAAAATTAAAAATCGTATAGCAAAAACGTAATCTACATTAAATTCTAAGAAAATTCTCTGAAGAAACCATGGGTCTAAAATCAAACCCTAATCCGCGCCTCTCGACTTTAAAATTTTTTTCCTCTTCTTACCCTAAAATTATTTTCTTTTTTTGAAATATATTATGTTTTATTATATTATATTATAGTTTATGCAATACAGGTTTTGTTTTGAGACTAGTCAAAATATTCAATTATCAAAAAAGCAGTTGAACCCCAATTTGTATCTCCTCTGATTTGCGTTCTATATAAAAAATAGTTATAACACGTTTCACCTAAACTGCGTTTTGCATAAAACAAAGAATAATTAAAAAAAAAAGTTTTTTTTTATCTCCTTTTTGTTCCTTATAAAAATATTAAATATAAAATTTTATACAAACTTTTTTAAATGAAAAAAAAAAAAATTGAGTGTAGAAAAAATATAAAGTGCAAAAGAACTACCTTACTAAACAATTTTAGTCAGAAAATTCGATTTCTTTTTGGAAAAATCTTTGTTTTCTAACATTTATTTTTTTTGGCAAAAGCGGCCATATAAATTTTCAAGTCGAGAGGCGCGGATTAGGATTTTATTTTAGATACACGGTTTCTTCGGAGAATTTTATGTAGTTTACGTTTTTGTTATACGATTTAAAAAAAAAAAAATACCAACCCGCCCTAATGTAGGTATGTATCTTTGCAAAAGCAGTAGCGGAAGCAAGCTTTAATACTTGTATCACTGAGGCTTGAGTAGGTTTTCACTGAATATTGAGTCTCTACTGCAAGTACATTAAAAAAAAAAAAAGATGACCTTAGCCGTTTAGAAGATCTCTAAATTTCATCGCAAAGAAATTTTTGTACGCGGGCATTTCATCACATAAGATTTCATTTGAAAAAGTGCTTATGAGTGCATTCCCCACATGATGAAAGTTACTCTATTCCCAAATAAAGCTTACTCCACATTCCACACTCCAGTTCATCGCCTGCTATAACTCGCAAGGTATTTATCGCCTGCGATTGAGCTAAGCGATCTTCACAAGCGATTAATCGCGGGAGATCTATAGCAGCAGTGGAAAAATTGCCAATAGAGACAGTAAGTAAGGAAAGAAAGCTATGGCTATTTAGATCACAGGATATTCACCAAATAATAGTGCAGCTATCGAAATTTATTTTCGGCAAGTTTTTATCTATCACGTGACTTGCTATTCTTATTCGTATTCGCGAATAATAGATTTTAGTAAATATTGTCATAAATCTCCCTACGTATGTATGTATGTACATTAGGGCGGGTAAGATTTTTATGACTATGGGCGTTTAGCCGAAGAAACCATTGGCCTAAAATCAATTTGGAGTTTGCCAAATTACGAAAATAGGTTTCGAGGAAAATAACGATACTTTACGATACTATAGCAAAATGCTTAGAAACCTATTTTCGCAATTTGGCAAACTCCAAATTGATTTTAGACACAAGGTTTCTTTGGCAAATTTGTTTAGAATTACACGCAGAATCCTTCTGTGCTATACGCGCATAGTCGAAGAAACCTCCCATGCAAATTAACCCGTCCTAATGTGCATACATACATACATATCGTTACCTTAAAATAGAAAGGCCCTAGGACCTTAATGCACATTTTTGTTTTAATTCAAAATATTTACATAGTACATACATATATTCATTAGGGTGCCTCAAAAAAAAAACATTTTTAAAAACGAATCTTATTTATAAATATAGTTTAAAAAACTAAAACCTGGCTATTATAATTTCCATTCGTACCGTCATCAGGTATGTAACTTGAGCATGTAAATCGCTGCATCTTTTAGGCGCATCAATATTACATAGTTACATCCCGACCTAATAAAAGGGAGGTAAAAAAACTATATTTTTGGAGTTATTTTCAAGGGCAATTCATCTAAACTCGTAAATGCCTCTTAACCAAGTAAACCTTGTAAACTTAGCTCATTTTGTATGGAAAACCAGTTTATTAACGAGGTTTACGCAGTTACGAGGCATTTATGCGCTTTGATGAATACCATGTCAAATCGTTGCAGCTCACGTAAATCTTAATATTTTGGCGGAATAATAGATTTCACAATTCCGATGGAAAAACATTACCGATTTTTTTTTTTTTGGTGGTATGGAGTGTGATGCACCCCAATATACATACATACATACATACATACATACATTGTCTCGCTAACCCAAAATTGTTTCAGTGAATATTAGTTCCGTTTTTATTTAGCGCAATATTGTTGTAATACTCGTAACAAACATTAATGTAGTATAACTAAATA